CATCAAATAAATAAGTAATCAAACACAAATCAACACATCAACTAAATAAATCAACGAGCTAGCAAGAACACAATTCAAAAATGCAACGAAGAAATAATTACTATTCTAGTCGGTTATTCGCATGGGACCAAGCGCAATGTCCAAGCTGATGAATTGTGATTGCACAAGGTAAGCCCAAGCTCCTGAGCTAACCGTTCTGGTGAGCAGTCTTCTTCGTGCTGCAAACACACACTACACAATGTGTCGTATCTCGTAACAAGTACTGTACCAAATCACAACGAACACTAACAATACGCAATAGTAAACAATAATCAAAAACACTACGCAAAAAAGCAAAGCAAGCAGCACCTAGCCAGGGAGACAAGCAGGAGTCACGGTCGCAACGAGATCTCGACGACACCCCAGAAGACCTTTCTCCGACACGATACACAACACCAGTGGTGGCGGTGGTCATGTGTATACTTTATCCAACTACTGGCTACGTAAAACCCGAGTATGCAAGGCGTGCATGCCAGACTGGCCGTGGCAACCCGGGGTGGGATAATTATGTACTCTTGGTGAAGTGAATGCAACCGGCAAACAATTCAATTGCAAGTTCTTATGGTTTTAAAACAAGAGAGCTTGGAAGCTCAGGGCCCTACGCTATGCCTTTTTGCCTAGCTCATCATGCATGTTACATCACTTTACAGTCTCCTATAGTACGCATCCTGTCCAACGGCAAAAGAGGCTGCGGATTTAGTTTGTCTGCACATTATCAGCAATGACTACTGATCTTCAGCAACTTGGGTCTCCTATATTACGCATCCTGTCTATGCTTTTGTAATGCTAACACAATGCTCGGGATAGCACTCGCAACTGATTATCAGAAACTTGGCCTGACTCTTACTCACAATAAGACTGTTGTAATGTTCATCGTTCCCAAGCGGTCGCTGGTTCCTCCCACATTTGCATCGTACTGTTGTACGACATGCTGTATGACATCCTTATACCATGCAACACCGTATTGATGTCTGGCTGGCTGTCTTTGATGGTACGGTACGGAACAGGTACGGGATAGCGCCAGGCATGCCGATGGCACAAACAAACAAACAAACACAGAATTAAAGCTGTGTGGACCCTGGCTAGCGCCAGACGTTACTGAAGTAACGTCTTTTGCATAGCTACGGGAATAAAAAAAAGTACGATTGCATGCCCTCAACTTGCACGGCCCCTGACTTCCCGGAAGTGGTATTGATGCGACTTTGCGTACACATGTACAAGCAGAGTGACTATCTGCATTGAGCACTGTCATGAGCAACCACCGGCATCCACAGCTCTCTCCGATTGTAGAAACACAGTGATGTAATGGAAACTGGTGCGAGGCCTAGTTTTGCACGTTTTTCACCGAGCTCAAATGTTACCTGTCAGTCCGGTGCAAACGGAAACCATTTCTGTCCGTCTGTGTCCGCCCATCTGTGTCTGTCTGTCTGACTGTCTCTCTCTCTCTCACTCTCTCTCTCTCTCTCTCTCTCTCTCTCTTCATCTCTCTTCATCTCTCTCTCTCACTCTCTCTCTCTCTCTCTCTCTCTCTCTCTCTCTCTCTCTCTCTCTCTCTCTCTCTCTCTCTCTCTCTCTCTCTCTCTACGTCTCTCTCTCTTTCTCTCTCTCTCTTCATCTCTCTCTCACTCTCTCTCTCTCTCTCTCTCTCTCTCTCTCTCTCTCTCTCTCTTCATCTCTCTCTCACACTCTCTCTCTCTCTCTCTCTCTCTCTCTCTCCTTCTCTCTCTCTCTCTCTCTCTCTCTCTCCGTCTCTCTCTCACTCTCTCTCTCTCTCTCACTCTCTCTCTCTCTTCGTCTCTCTCTCTCCACTCTCTCTCTCTCTCTCTCTCTCACTCTCTCTCTCTCTCTCTCACTCTCTCTCTCTCTCTCTCTCTCTCTCTCTCTTCGTCTCTCTCTCTCTCTCTCTCTCTCTCTCTCTCTCTCTCTCTCTCTCTCTCTCTCTCTCTCTCTCTCTCTCTCTCTCTCTCTCTCTCTCTCTCTCTCTCTCTCTCTCTCTCTCTCTCTCTCTCTCTCTCGTCCTGGTGGTGTGTGTCCATTCTTGTCTGTAGTTGCTGCGTCTCCAGCAGCGTGTCGGTGCTGATGAGCGGTTCAAGATCGACAGTCGCTTTGCAGAATCGGAAAGTGAAGATGAAGAAGACAACGCTACCAACAAGGGTGAGTGATGACTGATGATGTTACCTATTCCAAGCTGACCGCGTGGCCTAATGGATAAGACGTCTGACTTCGAATCAGAAGATTGTGGGTTCGAGTCCCATCGTGGTTGCTATTTTTTTTCTTTCCGTTTGTTCATCTCCTCACCCCAGATCTCTTTCATTTGAACATTAGAGAGGTTCCGGGGTACGATTTTCCGTGCCAAAATCCGTATGGGCGCTACGGATATTTTCGAGGCGTGCTCCATACGATTTTTCTGCACGGAGAATCCGTGTGGACTGGCTTTCATACGAACGATGTTTCGTATGGAGATTTTGCGTCATCGGGTGCAGAAAGATTCTTCGCGTACAAATTTTGGTACGAGAAACATCGATTTTCCAACCGGAAGGTTTTGGTTTCGGTACAATTTTTCAAAATTTAAAGGCATAGTGCGAGAATGTGACGTGTTTGGGATCGTAACCTAGGCAATGATGGCAAACACAGAAGTTCCGTACTTCGGAACATTTCACTGCTCGAAAACGACGTATGAAAAATCCGTAGCGCCTCTACGGATTTTGGCACGAAAAATCGTACTCCGGAACCTCTCTATTATCAGTCTTTTTCTTTCCCGGTGTTCGATCTACTGGTGGATCCGTCTATCCATCCTGATGGCCCCGAACGACACTCATGTTTGGGCTGTTCCACCACTGGCAGTTGGAAGAAGCAGAGCATTTCCATCAGTTCTAATAACATGCACAATGAGCTAGGCGAAAAAAGCATAGCATAGGGCCCTGAGCTTCCAAGCTCTCTCGCTTGATCAGTGGGCGACGTTAGTCAGTGAATTCTCAGGTGGGATAACAGAGCGGTCTGGAATTGACCTGATTCAGAGCAGAAATATTGCCGTGACGTCTTGTTTTCTGTATGTGTAGATGAGATTGGTAAGCAGCTGGATGAAGAGCGCGCACGCCACCTCTCGCTTGTCTCCAAGATGCTTGGAAAGAGGATGCACAGTCGCAAGCCACAGATGACGAATGCAGAGATCATGTAAGTAACTGTCACACGCGAAACCCCCCGCTCAGTTCTCCGTTTGACTCTTTCCATCAGAGTCTTTAACCCTTTTCACCGCTGATCCAATACTATTGATGGATTCTAGATGACTCCCAGGCTCTGAGCCAGTACTATAATGCTGGCAACTGAAATCCGACCTCCTGAGCGAAACCCCTGCGCTCACAATGCAAAGAATGTGAGCGCACCGCTCAGGGGTCGGATTTCAGTTGCCAGCACTGTATTACGGGGTTTACCACGGCGACAAACGTAAGTCCATGCAACTGGCATGGCAGGGTTGGGCTCCTTAGTAATTACCCCTTTGAGGTGCCACTGATTTGGCCTAAAATTCACATTTCTACCCACTCCGACAAGAATCACTGTAACTCCACAACCGTTCAACTTTTATATACACATGAGCACATTTTTCGCATCTGAAAAGAACAAGGAATAGGATGAAACAATGTCTAGCGCTTTGTTGCCAAGTAATATTGACGAAAATATCAAATTACTATTGGCAACGATAGTACGAACGGTCCAATTCAGCCATCACCATGGCTTCTAAGATATAGTGGTTGAATTTTCCACAAAAGTAGGTGGTCTGCACCAGAAAGAGTCTGGAAATGGATAGGAAACAACACTCACAAGGATACACCAGCCAATGGAAATTTAGAACACGCCATGCTGAACATCACTATGTCAGCCGATATCACTACCCGGTCTACTGTGAAAAAATTATTCCAAAGGCCCAAGTCACCATCCCTGTGTATACATGAGTCTGCTGTTTGCATGAGAAAAAGGAACAAAACATAGTGAGATATGCAGCACCGATTGGCATACAAGTTATACTGCATATGGTGGTAAACGCAGTCCGCATTAGAAAGGTACGATGCCACGTTGTAGTGCATTTACAAAGTGCAGTCTTGTGCCAGCAACATGTCAGGCAAAATTCTGTGTATGGTACTTGATACTACTTCTGGTGCGGCTGCTTCTGCTGGTACGGCGGCCACTGCTGGTTCTAGTGCGGCTGCTTCTGCTGGTACGGCGGCCACTGCTGGTTCTTGTTCAGCTGCTGGTGCTGCTGGAGGCGGTGGAGCGTGGACACCAGCTTGGACATAGGTTCGCTTGGGCGGGGGCTCATCCACAGCAAATTCAGCCAGCTGCCGAATAAGGCCAGACTGAAAATCGGAATGCCGACTGTATGCTGTAGGTGGCAGTTGACCAGGGTGGTTAGCACGCCATATTTCAAAGTAGCGAAAAGAATTGACTGCAGCAACATCAATCAAATCATAAAAGATACTTTTCCACGATGTTCTCGTCCGTCGTAGCGTGCGATATGTTTCAATAAGCTGGTCGAACGTGTCAACACCACCCATACTACGGTTGTAGTCTGTGATACACCAAGGGTGAGTGATGTCAATTTGTAGGAAGTGACCCTGTGCATCCTTGGTTTCCCTTGCAACCATGACAGTGCTGTTTCCCCTATGGATCGAGGAGAGGACTGATACACACCTCTTATCCTTCCATTGCACATACAATGCATCCTGCTCGCGAATGTAGCGGATTGTCCCCCGAGCTGCCCACTTTTCGAACCGTTTCGAGTCGATTTTCATTCCTGCAGGAAAGCCGATTCGATTCTGTCGTATTGTTCCGACGATGCTGGTATTCAGGTTCTTCAGGGACATCAGCAGCTTCTCAGACGTGTAAAAATTGTTAACGTACACGACATGGTGCTGGTTGTCTAGATACTCCACCAAGCGTATCACCACATCATGCGCCAGTCCACCTGCGGCATTGCCCTGGCCAGTATAAATTTCAAAGTCGCACAGAATGGCACTAGCGCTGTCGCAGAGGGCAAACGCCTTGAACCCCCATTTTGTCGGCTTTGCTGGCATGTACTGGATGAAAGATGCGCGGTCCTTGCACCGAATCATCCGTTCGTCCACCGCGATGTTTTGTGACGGCTTGAACAACGTACGACACTTTGGGCGAAAATGCTCAATCACCTTTCGGAGACGGTCTTCCGGGTTCTCAGTTGTATGATCCACAACCTTCAGAAAGGACATCAGCGCCTTGAACCGCTTGTGGGATGGTATCATCAGCCTGGCATAACCACCAGCGAAGAGAGAAGTAGTTTTGTAATAATCAGCCAGTTCGGGACGAGGAAGGTAAGCCATATGGAGAAGTAAGGCAAGAAGTTTGTACATTTCTGCACTTGTTGTTGCTGTCCATAGGCCATCTTTATTTTTGTAGGAAGGGCGCTGGTTGATGTGAGCATCAGCGTAGGCATTCGTGAACTTGACAATGTCTGCAACTATTTCAGGTGTGAAAAATAGTTTGAAGACACTCGCCTCCGAGTCGACAACAAACCGAGGAGGCAGGTTCACTGGACGGCTGAAACACAGGTATCTGCTGAGGTCCGTCGTCATCGACGACATCCATGGACGACAACGGTGCGTAACCAAGTCCAGCACCGCGTCCTCGGCCTCTTCCACGATCTGCGCCAGCACCGTGGCCTGCGCCAGCACCGCGGCCTGCGCCACCGCCACGACCTGCACCACCGCCATGACCCCTCGCTACGGCTGCCTGTCCTTGTCCTCTTCCACCCTGCTGAACACCACGCCCTCCGCCTCTTGGTTGTCCTTGGCCCTGCAACGGAACAGGCTCATCACCAACATCGTCGTCCACCTGATCGTCAGCTGATCCGTCATCGGAAAATTCACTACTGACATAGCCGTCAAGCTCTCAGTCCACCTCTTCTTCTTCTTCGCTCGACGACATGAAGTCGCCTTCAGAAGAGTCAGAGCTCTCAGCAGGCAGAGGCTCATCGTCGGCCTCGAGGTTCTGAAAGAGATTGAGAGCTTGATCCGCGTCCATTTTCAAACGACAAGAAACAAGTGTGTTGTACTTCGGCAACAAGACATCGTTTCTTTTCCCAAGTATACAGTCAGATGGGGCACGCGGCTTTAGTTTGTATGCAGAGGATGCGCTCCGCTGCGCTTCGCCGCGCGTCGAAACGCTGACTACGATCGAGGATAACTCAATAGTTTCAGTTTGGACCCCGGGTCTTTTACCCCTTCAGCTTGTTCCCCTATGTATCTACTATGTGCGTGCCAATTCTCAGCCCATTCAGACGATGTACACAAGAGCTGGGAGCATACAACCCACCCCCAGAAAATATCAGTCGTAAATGACTGATGCACCGCAAAGGGTTTTCTTAAATTAAAAAAAGACAGGGAGTTGTGAAATATCAGTATTCTAGTACTCCACGCTAGAAAAGCACTATTACTGGCTGACTGTTCTTCGCGTATTGATGAGAATTTTAATGGAAATGTGGAACATGGATGATTCTTTCTTCTTCTGATGACTCTTTTACTATTCATACAAAAGAGAAAGGACCAAGGAACTACAAGTTGCGCTATACTGTCCACTAACACCACCAGTTACTGAACAATAAAGTCGTGCGATAACATTGCACGGCACTGACCGACGGTACTGACGTTCTACAACTAACTGGCTAACAGCTCTAGCACAGCTTGGATGCACACTCCAACAGCCTTCCAACTAGGAAGGTTCTAAGTTATAGAGATAACACAAGGAAGGGAAGGCGCAGTGACTGTGTTATCGAGCGAGGTGTGACTGTACCTGCAGTCTGTCCCTGGGAGCCGTACACATACCACAAGATACATGCAGGGCTTTTTTTTGCTTGTTTTCTCTTCGCAAAATCCAAACGGAAAGTTCTTCCCAATGACAAGGTAGCGAAGAGGGAAGAAAAAAAGAGAGAAAAAAGTGTGTATGCACTGGAAATGATAGTCAGCTGGTGATCAATAGTACGGATCCATTGTCACCTGGTGTGTGTGCTGCGTACATCATTTATCCACTTTTTCTTCATTTTTTTTCCAAAATAGCCACAAACCATCATGGTGCAAACACTGGCAAAATCACACAGAGATACACACAGGGATACACATAGGGATGGCAGTGGAGGCGGGGCAAGAGCAGCTCAACCGACCAAGGGCCTCGGTTTCAGCACTGCTCATGCACTACAATCCTGTACTGCAATCGATCGATCGCCCAGCTCCCATCAGTTCCCTAATAATGATAAATTACAAAAGGCCCGAGTGGTCCGATGAAAACCGTACCAACCGCTCCGGTGGCAATGCCCATGGTACAGCTTGAGGGAAGTCTTCGATTTCAACCTTTTTCAAATCTATGAAAATCTCTATTTGCCTGTAGTGGCTCTTTTGAGACCGTGGGCAAGATATTTGTTCACTGGTGTTCTTGGTTGGAAGACCAAAAGGACATTGTGTTTTTTCTGTTTTGTGCTTGTTCTCACTGTCAAGGAATATTCCTTCCAAGAGATATGATCCGAATAGGCCGGAGTGTGCCGCTCTAGAACTCCCCGCGCGACCAGCGACTAAAAAGGCACCGAATATTAGCCTGGACAGGTACTGAGTGTGCGTATGTGTGCATGTGTATGTGTGTGTGTATGTGTGTGTTTGTTTGTGTTTGTTTGTTTGTGTGTGTGTATGTGTGTATGTGTGTGTATATGTGTGTGTGTGTGTGTGCGTGTGTGTGTGTGCGTGTGTGTGTGTGTGTGTGTGCATACGTGTTTGTATGCTATAACTATTAATACTGTACGGGGCGCTTCCTGAAATTGGTGGATAGATTTTCTTCCCTTTGTGTGGTTCCTTCTGCTAAACTTTAAACTCGGATACTGAGCCAGTAATAAATGTAAAAAATGAGAAGAAACACATGAGAACGAGTTATGCAGCAACTATCCACGACTGTAACAAGATGATAAACGGCATCGGGTCGCTGATTGTCTCAGTAGCCTGTCAGTTGCGTGCCCTTTTATCACACGTTCGGGCCGTTTATCCTCTTGTTAAAGTCACGGATAGTTGCTGCATAACTCGTTTTCATGTGTTTCTTCTCTTTTTTTACTTTTGCTAAACATTAGATATTTCACTTTGAATCAATGTAAAATACATATCCCTTGTAGCACAGTTTACTGAATTCAAAGTTGACTAACGTGTACTGTGAACCAAGACCTTATGGTCAAACGTAATGGCTGTTATGTTCCCAGCCACCCAAAGACAAGTCGAGCATCGGAGAACGATATTATTACATTATACTTTCGGAGATGGAAAGGAAAAGGCCGACTCTCCAGTAATCAGCATGGTACGATACCTTTGGTCGGAGGAGTTACTTTTGCCCCGCCCCCACTTCCATCCAGTATGCCACCGCCCCCGCTGTGCAGCATCGGATGGTTCTGTGGTATTCAGTAAAAAAAATGGTGAAGAGAAAGAGAATAGAGTGCAACTTGTACGGTACACGAGTACACGTGACCAAATCATGACATCATGACATAACAAGACAATGGCCTGATGACCATGCGCGAGTACACATGAACAAATAATGACATCATAACAGTCCTAACACTCCAATGGCTTGATGGATTTCCACTAGAAAACGTGTCCTGACCCTATTTCATACGGATACTTTTTCCTGAAGAAGATCTAAATCGCCAGGAGCTCTCTCCAAAGTGATGAAGGTAGAAAAGCGACCGTTGTCCATTGGTTTGAGGGCTGAATTGGTCAACTGCACATGCATAGCACACAATGATCACCCAACTGGGCATGTACACAACTACAGGATCTAGTACTTCAGTACAACGCGTCTAAGGACTTTTGGGTGCAAGCCACTTTAACCCTTTGAGAGCCGATTGAAAATTTCAAAATTCTGCATATTTTCATGTTCTTTGGGACGTAACTTCAGTTCTACTCACTCAATCTTCACAATCTTGGGCTTCCTGGAAAGGTCTCCGCAAGAGGAAGAGACTGAGGTCACGCATGGTGACCAGGACGCCATATCTCCAGCGCCGGAGAGCAGCGAACTAGCGAAAACTGCTTGAAATGCGTGCACTTTCGTCCTGCTCCAGCATTTTCATTTTTCTTGATCGCAGAGTTTCGATTTTTTCGCTGTGTACCCTTGGAAATACTACCAGTAAAACCCACGCAAATTTGAGTAACTCAGCGCGAGGAAAAGTCTCAAAATTCTCAACTTTCAAGTTGCACTCCCACGCTTTTCAAGTGCCGCGATCGCGGCTGAACTTACGAGCGATTGATCTCAAGAACCGTTAATCGCAGCGCGTCGCGGATGGTTTCTACGGCACGCTGAGAGTTTTCTCTTCAAGGTAGATATTTGGATCGTTGAATTTGAGCTAGTTTTGACCGAGTTACGGCCAGTTGAAGTCTCACAGTCGAGTGTGTAGAATTCTACACATTCAAGTATGGGTCGGCTCTCAAAGGGTTATAATCAGATCCCACCGTTGCTGGTATTTGCTGTTACGGCATCTATTTCATTTCTGTTGGTCTTGCTTTCCATCTGAGATCTTTGCAGGGTGGTGATAGATCTTTTCAGTGTGGTGATAGATCTTTGCAGTGTGGTGATAGATCTTTGCAGGGTGGTGATAGATCTTTGCAGGGTGGTGATAGGTCTTTGCAGGGTGGTGGCGTTCCTATGGATGCTGAAAACTCAGTCTAACCGAGTCTCCAGCGAACCGTGAAAAATATTTAGAAACTTATTGACGGTCAATTTTTGCTTTTGGTCGTGCGTGTAGATTCGATAACGACGAAGACAGCGATGGTCTGCCAAGCCGTCACTCCATCGCGGCAGCCAAGGCCGATATCTCACCGGCACCCAAGGTGTCCTCCGAGCGCTACTTCAAGTCGTCCGGCAAGCTCAAGGACCTGTTTAGCAAGACGGTAAGCCCATCTTGTGAAAC